TATATTTCTCATATCCACGCGAGCTGGTGGCGTCGGATTAGATCTGGCCGCTGCTGATACTGTCATCATGTACGACAGCGATTAGGTAAGAATTAGTATTCACCATTATTTATACTGAATTCAAGAACATTTTTATCTTTATCAAAAAGGAGCCTTTTTATTGCAGAACCCACAAGTCGACATACAAGCAATGGCACGTTGTCACCGCATTGGTCAAACTCGACCTGTAGTGGTTTACAAGCTGTGCACTAAAGGAACAATAGATGAAAGGATTCTTAAACGCGGTGAAGTCAAACGCAAACTCGAAAAGATTGTCATCTCGAAAGAAGCATCAAAATTAAATTTAAACGACTATAACTCCGTTTTGGAATTGAAGCGGCTACTCGAGTCCAGCGAGCATGAAGTTGTCACTTCAGAGAAAGACGGTAATGATATTTGAGATGAAGATACGGCATTTGTTTTATGGTATACTATATAATGGTTACAGTTGACTATTCACAAATCTTGACAAACAACGTGGGACTGGCTTTTTATTATTCTTGTATTACAAAGCTCAGACATTTTCGACATGTTTTATCTATTGTAACAATAGTTATTAAAATATATCTCTTGGTTTTTTAATAGTATTTACACCAGAGGAGTTGGATAAGCTCTTAGATAGAAGTGATCTAGAAGTCCAAGATAAACACCTTCAGGAGAGTGTAAGTTCTTTAGACAGTACGGATGAACAGTCACAGGAGGAATAGATCATCATCAGCAACCCATCTCATCATTCCAGATAATTAATAGAATTAAATATGACTATTTTAATTTTTATAAGTGCCATGACCAAGTGTTCCGTTGACGCGATATTTATTGCCAGATACCATTCTTATTCTTAGTATTTCTACAGTTCCTGTTTTTATAACTGCCTTTTTTAAAAAATGATTCCCAAATCTATTCCGTAACTAAAACCCCGATACAGATAAATAGATCATTGTGATTCAAAAATGAACTTCCCAAAATTTTTAAAAAAAGTAGCTGCGTCCAAAATTCAAGTATTAACTAGTTATGCAACGTAAAAGAATGTACATATTTTTTAATGTAGGAAATGTGTAATATCACAGTTAAAAGACATTTTTCGTTTTAGTGAAATAACGCTTAATAACTAATAAGTTGCTCATTACTTTCAATTTACGGTACGAAAATTGTATTAAGATTCCTTAATGTATTTTTCTTAACTGTTATTTATTGATTTTCTATCTAAAAATGTATTAAAATATTCTTTCAATGAAAACATATGTACTTCTTTATTTCTATTTATCTATCTACTTCCACGATTTAATAACTTGGTGAATTGATGGAATCTGCTGTAACAGGATATTAAGAAATGCGGGAAAGCTTTTATATATTATTTAAAACCAGTAGGGCAATTTCAATATTAATTAAATACTTTATCTTTATTAAAAGCTATGTGATGATCTTGAGAGTAGTGAAAATACTTCTTGGTACACTATGTAAATTTACATCCTGAAGGATGTGTGACAAATTAAATTTAAACAAAATAATCTTGATTCGATGTAGAATGACACCTGCGATGAAAGGGTTAACACTGCGCGTGCATACTCATTGGAACCATAAGATGTATTTTATTACAAAGGTATACGTTCTTCAACAATTAAAATAGTTGCCTTATTAACAATATACATATATAGTATTATGATATACTTTGAGCCGTATCGTAAATCTCTTGCGCCCGTTTTCTTGAACGTGGTTCAATGCATAAACTCGTTTTTACTGGGCTGTTAGCCAATCAGTAACTTGTACTTCGAAGATGAACGGGAGTTTATGCATTAAACCGCGTTGAAAAAAACAAGCCTCAGTGTACACTGTTCACATCTAATTCAGGCATTCATACGTATCTTTGATTTGACATTTCACAGCGTAAATCTCTTACGCCCGTTTTGTTCAACGTGGTTCAATGCAAAAACTCGTTTTTACTGGGCTGTTAGCCAATCAGGAACTTGTACTTCGAAGATGAACGGGAGTTTATGCATTAAACCGCGTTGAAAAAAACAAGCCTCAGTGTACACTGTTCACATCTAATTCAGGCATTCATACGTATCTTTGATTTGACATTTCACAGATAAATTCAAATAAGGACCGCGAATGTAAATATATATATACGAATTTCTCTTGCTAGCTTAATCGTATCGCCGTTACATCGATTCCATAATACTGAACAAAAGTATTAAATTAAATTAAACGAGAGAAAGTTCTACATTGCAAGATCAATGAAGCTTCAATTTGCATCGAATGCTTGACAATTTCTTTTTTTTTTCACAATATATTCACGTGCTTGCGATAACAATAATAATCGAGTGACATACTCTGTACTCATCGGCTTGTTCTTCCTTCCTCTTTATGCGAATCTACAACATTTGTTTGTGCCTATTGTCTCGTTAGTATTATGTCGACAACCACTCTCGCCCCTCTACTAAACCACTATCCTAACCTGATGGTTAGCATCGGAGAAAGGACAAAGTTACTGCATATGCTAACGCAGCCATTGTTTCACCGGACTCCTATTCCCGGACAATTTCCGACGTGTTGAAAGCCACGAGAAAGAGAGCTCCATTGTGAGTGTCTCTTTTGCTCTTGTTCTCTTTCGCCCTATCTATCTATCTATCTCTGCCCTATCCAGTTTGCTTATAAACGTCGCAGGCAAATCGTTTAGAAGTTACTGGCAGTGTGAGTCTCAGTGTAATTAGCATTAATTAAATGGAGCACGTATTCAAGCGCGATTCCCCGTTTACGTCCTGACGTGGTATCAATATACGGTTCTTTAGCTTGAATGAATTACCAATCAAAGTTGAAAGCTAACGTGCGAACAGTTTGGTTTAACAGGATTTAGTAATATAGGGTGGTAAAAAGAATATAATATTCCGAAAGCTATTAGGAAATAATGTAACATGTCACGAAACACGACACCTGGAGGTGCTCATTATCAAAATTTCATTTATCACAAAAAGGGAAGTCACCGTAGATCTTGGAGCTTCCTTCATCTTCTGGTGAATAACTCTGCCTATATTTTATATGCGTGTAGTGTATCAGGCGACTGGTTGGAAACTTTCATGGGATTTTAATGAACAAACGGTATCTATAAATTAATGACAACGGATCGGTTAACCACATTGTGGCAATCTGCCGCAGAGTACGTTTCGCACTTTGCTAAATGAAAGTGCGAAGACTGAGTGCTAATTCCCTCGGCATCGTTCATTAATACCGAATACATGTGAACTCGCACAAACGAAAAAGAGATGGCAATTGGACAAAAATTATCCATGCGCTCTAGAGAACGCACGGAATTTAGATCATTCATAAGATAAGGTGTAACACGTAGCTGATAAAAATTCACACACGTGCGTCACACGAGAGAAACGTAAAAGGGTAAAAGTCATCTGCTTGGTTAGGTATTAACAGCTAGCCGGAAAAATAAAATGCTGGAAGCATGGATACCGATTTACTATATGAATAGGTGACTGTGTGGATCTTAACTTTAGTAAAACATTCCAAAGTCTGTATCTTTTGGAGTACAAGGAATACGTTAATGGAACTTGGAAAATTACTCTGGTTCTTGTAGCAACTATTCATAGAGGTTATAGATTCCAAAATAAGCAGTGAGTATACCTACAATTCATTACCATGCGATTTAAATGTAAATGAAAATTGTAAATAACAGCATTTTTAGAGTTCTGTAGAAATCTAGGAACCCTTATGATTTCGGTCAGTCTATCCGTCTGTTTGTATGTCACAGGCCTCCCATTCTCTCATTTATGGACCGATTAAGATAAAATTCGATACATCGACGTAGATCGATGTCCCAAAAATAGAAATCATAACATTTTTTTAAAATTGTTTACCCCTTTCCCGCACATTAAATAGTGACCCATCGAGTGAGGTGTCTTTTAATAGGACTCCTCAAATGCAATTCAAAAGGTTCTTAGACCTTTTCATTTTAACCCTTCAATCAGGAGATATTTGCTTTCAAAGTCGTTATCAGAGTGTCCCCACCCCCCTCTAATTTCTAAACTATCGATGCAAAAAATCTGAAGAAATTCAAATATGTAGCTTTCAATTAATACGTTCAATCAAAATTATAACGAACACCGTAGCAAAAATAGTTTACGAAAAATATAAAAATAACTCTTTTCCGGTACGCTTTTGTGGAAATTACATCTTTCGCCAGCAGCTACTACAGAATGACTACAGAAACCCTATCATGTGCGCGCCCAACACTCTACTTGACTACTTTTACAGACATACCTCAGCAACACGAAGTTGAAGGCATATTCTGCAAGATTAAAAATAACTTTGACACCATTTTCGTAATAAGTAAACCTAAATAAAAAGAAATTTTCTTCTTCGATTACTCTTTCGGTTTTGGCTTAATTATTAAGATGCTAGTGTCGAAATGATTGTTAACCTTGTAGAATGGGCCTTTAACTTTTACTCACATGGTAGTGAAAGCCACGCAATCCTCTTAATGTGATATCATGCAAACCCCCTATGATAATAACAATGCAGCTATACTACCTATGATGATGGTAGAAAATTATAATGATGATCGATGGTGATACTATCGGCAGGGAGAATGAGCAATGTTTGTAATTGAATTAATTTTATTGTTTTATTATACTGATGCAGTATTGTTACTCTTCAGGTACGACGAAATGGAACATCTCAACGGCGCAACTGCCGTTAGGAAAAAAACAGATACGTATATCTGCGCGTGCACGCGCGTACCCACAAATATCTACATTGAAAATTCCAAACGAATCGCTGAACTGAACACGTTGAGATTTACACGAGAAATAACGTTCCGGATGTAGATGGTAAAGTAGCGATTGCAGATGTCCCACAGTTCCGGATTCAAAATAGTGCATGAGCAAAATTTGAAAAGTTAATGCTGCATGTCTGAAATTTTTGGCCGAATAAAGTACTTAACGAATCGGATTGGAACTTGGAGACGAAATCAAACGCCAAAACATAGATTGCACACTGACAGTTTCACTCTGTTTTAACTCTGAGAGAATCGCTAAACCGACTGCGTTAAAATTTACAGAAAAAGAAACAAGTTTCTCCTGTAATTGAAAAGTTTGAAAACATTTGAAAAATTCAGCATTTGAAAGTTTAGCATCGATGAAACTAATTTTTTTTACAACATCGAATGGTTAAGACATAACGGCATAGTTCGTTGCGGTCGTGCCTCAAAACAGCTTGCCTCGATATTTTGAAATATATTATCTAATTTAAGACACAGGGAACAATAACTTATCCCCATATAGAGGCTTTCTCTCTTTCTTGGCAGAGATTAACATATACTATAAAGGAAGTCTTAAGATCCATCTTATAATTCCAATAGTTAATCCAACATATATAAATTTCAAAAAATAATGAACTAATAAACCTAAATAAAAAAACATTCTAAGTATCAATTCATTAATAAAGCGAATATTTCATATACCTATATAGGTTAATACTGATTATGTATCCATTAATTTTAGCGAGAGGGTCACCCATCTAATTGCATATTGCTGTATATACATAAATGTTGCAAAAGATACCCTCTTTTTATATCTCGTATAACAAAACGACGCGTAACCCATTTTAGCGTGTAAATCAATGATTCCCTTTTACGATGCCGTGATATGCGAACGCGTTACAGTACTCCATGCTCAGGGATTTATCTATAAACGTATGTACATACATATATCGAACTTAGCGTCTATAGAGGCTCAGCGTGGGCATCCTTTTGCGTGATATACGTGGGTCGTAACGGGAGCGGATACGCGACGTGAAAATACTCCGTATAAAAATGGTGGCCACGGGGTACAACGGGTTTGTACTGAATTGAGCGAGTAACCCGTTCTTTGTAATCTGCCGCTCAAGCGAGCCTAGTGAGTGAGTAGAGTCAGAGATAGACGTTCAGATATACATATAGAATGGGAAGAACGAAAATAGAACGTCGAGAGAATCGAGAAATAGTGAGAACCACGTTGATGCTCTTCGCCATGAAAAACGCAATAAAGCAGGAATATTGCGGAATAGGGACCCGTCCGCAGAGGTCGATGGATGGCCTTCTTATTGGTCTTTTTAGCGAGACCCTCTCGGTCA